CACTATTAATTAAGGAAGGAACTAAACACTCCTAAAAATAAACTACAAAAAGCAAGTAAAGTAGCTGAATTATAATAAAATGACTACAACTGTCAGTTTACATTATAACAAAAAACCCATAAGATCAATATAGAGCAACTAATATTATAAACGGCATGCATTCTCACCTTAATTAACTGCAGAAAGTAGCTTCCTAAGGTTCACAGGTACAATGAACAAGCCAAATCCAGAAGGAATACCACTGCAGACAAGTTGTTGTTTCACTCATTTCCAAATTCATTTTCAAATGCCTCCCCCTCTCAGGTTCAAAATTATGTTGCAAGAGTAAGACGTCAAAAGCATTGGCTCTTTGAGTATCATCAGAAGCAGCTGTAATTTCTTCTCACTTGGACAATCTATAGAAACGGGTAAGAAAACGTGGTTAATTACAATTTTTAAAGCAAGTAAAGCAGTAATATTTTAATGTGGTGATGTGGTGTTAAAGTTAGAAGCTAACTTTCGCACTGATAGAAAAGCCAGTTCCACATTTTGCTTCTGCCACTTCTAAAATGTTGTTTAAAAGTTGTCTGATGAAAGTAAGTTACAAATGCCTCAGAAATTGAGGTTTCTGGAACCTAGATTAATATTTTTAATTGATACAGTTTACTCACCAGTTCATTCGTTATAAATCCTTCCTTCAACAATGCCACACTGTATCCACTTCCAATGGAAAAAAGGCACTTTTGTGCTTCTTTTTAGGACAGCTACTTTCTGGATCGAATGAACACTGACACAACCAAGGCACTGTAAATTAATGCCATCCACGGTTCCTGTGAAATGAAATCTCATGAAAGATTATTTAGACATGGCAAACAATTTGCTCTTTCAGTTGCATCAAAATTAACACTCTTCAATTCTTATGCATCGTTAATCTGTAAAAATAGAAAAGAAAAATGAATAAACTACGTTATTAAACAATTAAAACTTAAAATACAATGAAAATACGCACTAGAAAGCAAGTTAAGAAAAAGTTAAAATTAAAAAAAATGGCGACGTAGCGTTGTTTTTAATACAAAATAGCAAGATGAACGAAATGCACAAAATTCATTAATATTTAATAAGAGTATTCTTCTTCACTTCCACAGAAATATTAATGGATGTTCTCTTTCAATTTTCATTCTCTATGAATTCTCATGACAGAATCAACAAATGTAGTGGCGCTTTAAACGCCAATTAGGTCTTTTTGGAAAAATTTTTAGATACAATGAAGGTCAGCAATACTTTCTAACGAAATAGTGGGTAGTTCGACATTTTATTATAAAAAGAAATAATATATGTTCGACGTTTCATGCATAATGTTGCAAGAAATCTACTGTTACAAAAATTGGCTGCAAACTAATAAAATGCAAAGATCACACATGCAAAAAGAAAAATAAATCCAAAAACAGAACTACCATTGCAGACTTTATCATTATTGCTAGGATCAAAATTAGCATCCACTTCTCAGTTGTTCACCAATCTGCAGAAATGAACAAGAAAACTTTTTAATTGTCAATATTAAAGCAGATAAATCAGTGACATTTTAAAATGGTGATGTAATAGTGAACTTAGAGAGAAGATAGAATAGTAATAATAATATGATAGATATAAATGTACCGTTCGTTAATAATCAAAATAAACATTTTCCCTTAACCTTTTATTCTCTTACTGAAGTTAATATTTACCCAAAATTTCCATTATCATTTATAAAAAAATATTTAAAATAAATGCTCTATCTCCAGTATTATGCTAACTTTCAAACTGCCAGAAAGGATTAAGTTCTATATTAATTCTGCTGCTGTTTTTGGAAATTTCTGAATTTCTGTTTAAAACTTGACTATTGAAAAAAACATTACAAAATATCTAAGAACTTGACTTATCTGGGATCTAATCTACTACTTTTAATTAATATTGCTACTTACCCATTTACTGTCATAAATTCTTCCTTTAGAAGCAATACACTGTCAGTGTTCCCAACGGAAAAAAGGCATTTTCCTTTAGGTACTGCTATTTTCTTGAGTGAAGGAAGGCTGATGCAACCAATGCTCCATAACACAGTATCCTGAGTTTTTAAAACGTTCCTGTAAAATGAAATGTTATAAGAGTATTTGTATATTTGCAGTAGAGGTTTTAGCCTTTTAATTTAATTACATTTGCTTAATGTTCCTGTAATGTTACTAATAAGCAATTAATAATATTTAAAAGTATTAAATATATAATTAGGATTTGTACTAAGAATATGATAATAGAATACTAACACACTTTTAATATTTGAAAGAGAGAAACTTACAATTTAAACAAAAAGTAACTATACAAATTTTTATTCTTTGTATTATAGGGTAAATAATGAATAAATCAATAAATTTCAATAAATAGTCTTTTTGAAATATAGCAGACAGTATTTCGAAATGAAGTTGGTACTTATTTAGCACAGACAAACTAAAACATTATATATAAAAGAAGAAATTATTAGTGCTGTCAGCACAGGCTAAAGTAGTATTACATAGTATCAGAAATTCTTATGCTGAAATGTATAATGTGTTGCATACCTATTTACAAACAATTTAAATTCATTTTTCAAACAATTTTTAACACAAAGAAAGTGATTAAACAAATTGTTCACAAATGTGAATTTTGACCACTCGAAGCAATGATGCTAACAATTTTGAGCTCACAGTGACTAATAGGGGAGAAGAACTAGTTTTACAAATAAAATAAATACTTTAAAACAGTTCATACTTTCTTTATCTTATTGTTCTATTGAAAGTACTTCCAATATATTTATACAAATACTTATCAAAATGTAAACTAAGTACTGAGAATTAAATAAACTGTAAATTTATAGATGCAATTAAACAATTTAATACCACAGAAGCTCCATAACGTCAACCTAGACTATGAACAATAGATAATTGTTAAAGGAAATACCATAACATTAATAGAGAGCAACTAATATTAATTATGTCATGCATTCTCACCTTAATTAACTGCAGAAAGTAATATTCTAAAGTCCACAGGTGGGATGAGCAAGTCAAATCCAGTAGGAATACCACTGCAGACAATCTGTTGTTTCAGTCATTTCCAAATTAATTTCCACTTTCCTCCCTTTCTCAGGTTTAAAATTAACTGCATTATGATGCAAGGGGAAGACGTCAAAAGCATCGGATGTTTCAGTAGCATCAGACTTAATTCCTTCTCACTTGTTGACCAATCTATAAAAACAGGCAAGAAAAAGTGATTAATTACAACTTTTAAAGCAAGTAAATCAGTAATAATAGTAAAATTAGAAGCTAAATTTCGCACTGATGAAAAGATCAATTCCATAATCTGCTGCTGCCACTTTCAAAACTTTTTTTTTTTAATCTTATGAAAAGAATATGCAGATATAATTAATTTAGCTTCCCTAGTAAATAACGTGCATAAACAATGTTGAAATCAATATCAAATAAATATACTAAATATATATAATAAACTGTATGCCTTACCTCAATTAGAAGATCCTCTAAAATGAATAGAATACCATGGCAGACAACTCCCTTTTTCAGTTGCATTGATATTAATATTCTTACACATTTATTTATCGTCAATCTGTAAGAATAGAGAACAAAAATTAATAAACTACACTATTATGCAATTAAAACAAGAAACACAATAAAAATACGCACCGAAAGGCAAGTAAAATTGCAAAACTTTAAAAATGGCGACTTGGCTCCGTTTTTAGCACAAGTGACAAAATAGGCATGATCACGGAACAGAAAGATTTCGAGATCTATAAAATTCATAAACAATTGTCAAATTATAATGTGGATATGTCTATGATGTAGACATACAGATATCTGTGAAGGAAAAATTATAGAGTATACATGTAAATTCAAATCACCAAGTCAACATTAACTATTTTACGTTTAAATTAAACATCAATATTATTGTAATTTAAAATAAAATAAAAATCCTTAACGTCAGTTTTTAATATAAGTAGTCTTTCTCACTTCTATTTAATTTTTGATCGATGTTCTCTGGGAATTTTTATTTTCTATAAATTCTCATGATAGAATTTGTAGTGGCGCTATAAACGCCAATTGAGTCTTTTCAAATAGAATGTACAGAAACTGAAGTCTCATAATATATAAAATTATAAGAAAATAATGGGTGGTTCGATATTTTATTATAGACAATATTATGTTATATATGCGACTCCACGCACAATGTTTTAGCAAGTGTTCTCTAACGAAAATTGTCAACAAAATTATTACATGCTGTTAATATTAGTTGTACTATATTTTCTCACCTAGATTAGCTGCAGAATGTAACTTTCTAAAGTTCACATGTGCGAAAGGCAAATTAAATCCAGAATGAAAGGTACGAATTCACACTTCGCTTGGTATTGTAATTTTCAAAATTTTTAGGATTTGGATTAATCCAACATGTTTAGAAAAGTCGTTGTTGGTATTTCTGGTGGTGTTGATAGCGCAGTTGCAACTCTTATATTAAAAAACAAAGGTATATATAATACAATTGTTAAAATTTACATTCAACTATATTAATTATTTAGGATTTAATGTAT